CGCGTGCTCGAAGGCGAGGCCCCGCCGCCTCCACCGCGGACAGCGGCTGCTGGTGTGGCGGTGTGTGGGAGCCGGATCCGGCAAACCCAGCTCAGCAGGGAGGGGCCCTGGAGGCGGAGAGGGGTTTCGGGGAGAGGAAAGAAGCCGCCCGGTTCGTCTAAGATCCCAAGGAGGCAGCGGAGGCGGCACTAGGGGAGAAATAACTCAAGAGCAGATTTAGACTGAAAATGCTTCCAGCCATGGGTGTGTGCGTGGAATGCTGGAGTTGGGGGGATGCACGTGGATGCACCCCGCAACTGTGAGGCTCCCTTCCTGTCCTCCACTGGAGCTCACATTTGCACACATCCACAGTCCTATCTCCACCCCAGGGGCCTCAGGGCCAAGCTGGTGAAACAAACTTGCCTCTGGGAGAGTGCCCTCAGAGGGAATGGCCAGGACCAGGTCGACCCTCAGCAGACTGGGGGGTGGGGTGGGGGGTGTCTGAGGCCTGGCTGCCCCTCATCCCACACCCCCACCCTGGCCAGAGGGTACTGCCTTGCCTGTCAGTCAACCCCCCACCCCCAATGCCCTGGATCAGAACTGCCTCCCTACAGAGGCAGCCCTGCTGCTCCTCAGTTTTTATCCATGGTCCTGCTGTGTTCCAGCTGTTCCTCACACCCAGCCTCACTGACCCGGCCTGAGAATCCCCCGCTCTGTAGCTCAAAATTGGAAACAGCCACACTTTGGCCCAGGGGTCAGGGCTTTGGGAGAAAGGTGAGCTCAGGGTCAGAGATGCCAGTTAGGTCCATGCAAGGCTAGGACGAGGGCCCCTTTGCCTGGCCCAGGCCCCATCCACCTAGCCAGATGGCTCCCAGTGCCCCTACCTTCCTGGTACCTGTGACTGCACCCAGTGGGGCTTGGGTCCTGCTTGGAGTTTCCCACCAGGAGGGGGTAGGGACAGCTGCCGGTCTGCTGGGGGCTGCCTCCCCATTTAGGGATAAACACCAGGAGCGAATGCTGGGAAAAGAGGCTTTTCTTAAAAGATGCCCACACTTGCACTATTATTGGCCTCAGCACTGGTGGGTTGTTCCTCAGTGAGGAGTAGAATGACAGGGGAGGTCCCCCGAGCTTGAGGCTCCTGGGGTCACCGCAGGGGAAGGGGGAAGATGGTGGCCTCTACTTTAGTTGTCTGGTCCCCCTCAGCCTGAACCAGAGCTGGGTCAGGGTGCCACTTGGGAGAGCCCCCGTGTTTCCCCAGCAGACTTACAGCGATGCATGGTAGCCAGAGCGGACCGAGGAAACACAGCGAGGCCCCAGGGACTCCTGGGATCCTCCGGAACTTTGTGACTTCCAGGCTGACAGGCTGCAGACAGCCACACTGGAGCTTCGTAAGGAGCTGCCTCCTTTGCAGACCCTCACTAGGCCCTGAGACCCAGGTCACCACTAGGCCCGAAGGACCCCCAGCACTGAGGAAGCATCTCCAGGGTCTCAGTCAGCAGCTGGGCTCTCATCACCATCTACCTACTGGCCTCTCCCCTCGGCTGGGGGCTCCTTGAGGAAAGATGGCACCAGGGCTCAGGGCCTCTCAGTGCTTGCTGAATGAATGAATGAATGAATGAGTGAGGACTGGCAATCAGCGGGGGGCATGCAGAAAGGGGTGTGGCTACCTAAAGCCCATGAGGCTTGATGGAGGACAGGTTAGATTAAGAGGAGGGCAGTCAGAGGGGGAGCTGCAACTCCGTTCATTCATCCCGGTTGTGACAGAGGCCAGTGTCCACAGGGGAGGGGGGCCACTGGGGTTGGGTTGGTACCAGAGCCTCTGGAAAGGCCCCCAAGACCCTGGGGCTCCAGGTGGACCTTGCAGTTATTCAGACCCTTGGGAAGAGGATGACTCATGGCTCCTTTTCGGCTGAGACTCCCCTTGGGAACTGCAGGGTTAAGGAAGCTGGCTGCCTCTCCCCCATAATCTGGCCGGACCTGAGGAGAAGGGGACAGGCACCACCAGGAGGGAGGGAGGCTGGCGGCCCTGCTCTTCCCAGCACCACAACCCTCACTGCCGGTCTGAGTCCTGCACACTCTGCCTAACCATCCGACATAGTGGGGAAAGCTGGGCTCAGAGAGTCAACTTTTAGAAGTTGTACAAATCTGGGATTTGACCCCAAGATCCCCATCTGTCTGACTCCCTAAACCCAGGCCAGGCACAGTGGTCCAGAGGGCAACCCAGGCGCCCCAGCCAGCCTGTCACTGGCCAGGCACACCTCCTGTGGCCTCTGCCCTGTTCTGCTTACGTCCCTGTGCCCTCCCAGTTCGGAATCCTGGGCTGGTGGTCTCTCCCACCATTGTCCCTGTCACACCCCAGTCTCCTCCCAGAGGCTGCAAGCTGCATGTCCACCACTGGGACACTGTTCTTTTGATTTGTTCATTCCCGGTAAACTCTCCACCCCTCATGTCCTCCACCGTGGAGGACTCTGATACCCCCATCTGACAGAGCCTGCCCCGGACACTGGAGGTCTGGCCCCAGCAGAACCTGCACTGACTAGTTCGCCCTGCCTGCGGAGAGCCACGAAGCCAGAAAAACTCACACAGACCTATCTGTGGTGGTAACCCCAGGGCCTGGGTGACAACCGGGGCAGCTTGGGATTGGGGGTGTGGTGCAGGCTGACACATTCCATGACAAACCCCGTGACTCAGGCACATTCACATCCCTGTCACTTTGCACACGTCCTAGCCGCAGCGCTCCCCTCCCGCCCCCAGCTCAGAGATGCTTCTGGGATGCAGGCTGCCCCACCCATGCACCGGGGGCTCCGAGAAGGGAGCACGCGGCCTCGAGAGGGACTGGAGTTCATGCTCCAACAGTCTTCTGGCCAAGCTCGGGGCAGCTCAGCCAAGTGGGACTGGGCGCCTTGGGGAGTGGACGTGGGATGTCAGGCCTCGTCTCAGCCCGTCTACTCTGAAGCACCTGAGCTCCAAGGCCCAGGCCTGGGGTGTTCAGTGCCTGCTTCGTTGGGCGGCTGCCTCGACCCCTCCCCCTCTTTCCTGCCAAGTAGGGGAAGGTGGCCCAAGCCCACCCTCTGTGACTGTTCTGGTTGAAGTTCCTCCCAGTCCACGTGTAGAAACGATTCTGTGCCACCCACCGGCCCCACAAACCTTCCCTCACTGCCACCTCCACTCTTCCCACGCCAGCCTCTGAGACCCAGGTCACAAAATGGGGGCCAGCCAAGGAGCTCCTTCCCCTATCTCCGGGGAGATGTCCCCCGGCTCAGCAGTGCAGGCCTCCTGGGCTGGGCCCAGCTGTCTGGAGGGCACCAGGTCCCCCAACCTCAGGTTCACTTGTTTTCTTCCCATCAGTGGGAGATAGGACTCGTTCAAGTGCCCAGGAAGTGGGTGTGAGCTGGAGGGTGGCAAATGTCCCATGACCCTCCGCAGCATTAGCGGTGCTCATAGGCCTGGCCCAAGGTGAGGGGTGGCTGACGTGGGGGGAGCCAGAGAGTGGAGGCGGGAAGCACTGGGGGAGCTAGTCCTAGGGTCCTGCACTGCCTGTGTTTACGACTGGGGCATGCCTTTTTCTCCTCTTCAGGCAGCTCAGCTCCAGCCCTGGGGTCCTGCACTGCCCGTGTTTACGACTGGGGCGTGCCTTTTTCTCCTTTTCAGACAGCTCAGCTCCAGCCCTGTGGCCACTTCCT